GATTTATAGAATGCACAAATTCTACCATCGTTCGCACGTGTGCCTCGAAAATTTTTCTACCTACCTACCCGAGTCCGACACGCAATAATGCAGCCGCGCACAAAAGCTTCGGGGTTTCGCAGGTCGAGCAGAACGGCATTTCTGCTCCAACCCCTGGTTTTCTCTCCGTTTTTCTACACGCACATATTTTTCCCGCGATATAAATGGCGCTGAAACGTTTCTCCTTCTGCATCCAACTCGCATTTCCCAGGCTTACCGTTTAATCGATAACCCGAGTAACCTACTGTGTGTGTGTGTGTGTGTGTGTGATATATATGAGAAGATGTACGTTTTGTTTAAATATTTATTAGCTCGAACGAGGAGAATCGGACAATCCATCTTCCCGCTTTCGACTATTCCGCTTAGAAACGATCTAATTTTTCAAGTGTCATTACGAGCAAGTATGTCAAGATTGAATTTTGTTTGATCGATATGCCCTCTTCAGTATGCGATTGCATTTTCCTTCGGCTCTGATTAGATCATCGTTGCGAGTTGAGGCGAGCCTAGTTTTAGAAACCTAGTTTCGCAAAATGTGTAACTAGCCTCGGAATCGACTCCCATTATACCTGCTAGATAGGATAAGAACTTTTCTGACGTAACTCGCGTTGCACTTGCAATTCTAGCTCGGATTATAGTCGCAAATCGCCGAAGACAAGATAGAATTCCTTCCCGCAGATAGCAAACGTACGTCATTTTGACGTCCAATGACGTCAGTTTGCTACTTGGGTTCATCTCTATCTATTCTCTCTCATTATCTGAGAACGGGAAATATCTTTTTCTATAGTTTAGATTTCTCTGGAAATCTCTTGACGAAATCATCTTTCGTAAATGTCATTTCAGGTAATGTTAAACTATAGACCTTGTAATAACAGACTGCGGCCAACAAGTGTCCGCCATGATGTTTTGTCAAAATCTACGAGAGAGAAAGCAATATATCCCTGGTAACAAGCATATTTTGACGTCTAATGACGTTATCGTTATCCAAGAACGGCAAATCTCAGATAAAGTTAATGAAATGTCATTTCAGGTAACGTTAAACTTCTAATAAGAGACTGGTCAACAAGTGTCCGTCTATATATAATGACGTCAGTTTGGGTTCATCCCTGCGTATTCTCTCTCGTTATCCAAGAACGGGAAATCTTTTTTTCTATATAGTTTCCATTCCATTATGTGTCGCGGGAAAACGACGCGTCCTAGACCAGACTTTCACAGTCTAGTGATCCGGTAGAGACACGATAACAATCGCGTTATCGGGCGCGACTGTACAACGTGGTGGAGAGTGTGTATTCCCAGCACGGAGAGTGAAACGAATCGATCGGCGGCGAACGAGACTGCCGTCACTGTCGCTGATAGGCCGGAAAGATTAATGAAAGGTCAGGGCCTCGTTAAGAGTACCGGGAAAAGGATGGTTGGGTTGTTTCCCAAATTTAGACACACAAACGAACGGGTAGTGTGCCGTGCACAAGTTGAAATTAAAATTTCAAATTTATTCCCCTTCTCGCTTAATTAGCGAAGAAAGCCTCGGTTCTTCTCGCAATAAACTTTCCTCGTCACGAATAAATCTCGCGTGCGAAAACGAAGCGAGTCATCTCGCGCTTATTGTCCTCTCGCTCGGACGGGAAATTCCGCGACAGACCGGCCGTATAAAATTGCGCGCGCCATTATGTCCGATTGCGAGAAGTGAATGGCGCGTGAATGGGATTATTTCTCAGGGAATCGAATCGATGACGCACTGCGTGGCGCGAAAACCGGTCCCCTCGTTTCTCTCGGCTCGCGTAGTTTCTTCGGAAACTGCGGTTTCGCGGAGGGCCTGGGGGCTCGTTTCGGCGACCCCGAGAGACTCTTGGATTCTTGACGAGCCGGACTCTGACTGCCGGGGAAATTGAAGCCGGGACTTAACGGATCGCCGTCCTTCCTCACGTCAGACGCGACGTATCGGGAAAATGACGTTCGCATATTAATCATTATCTCTCCCTGCGGCTCTTGATTAATTATTTGTAATTCATGATTCGCGAGCGCGCCATGAATATTTAACGGAAAGCTAAAGAAGGCGATTACTCAGCTCGCGCAGCCTCTCTTTTTTTCTCTCTTTCTCTGATAAACGGGAGGAGGACTCGACAGCTCGACGTGTCGGTTTGCTCGAGAGTAATTGTAAGAAGAGGAAGAGGCGCCCAAGGAAGAGACCCTCTCGATTACGTAGCGAAAAGAATGCAAACGGTTCTTTCTCCTGAGGATCTAAACGTCGTTCTGTTTTATTATAAATTAAATGTTAAAAGATTGAAACAATTTTTTAACATAAAATCGGTAGATTCGCGCTTTGCTTCTATATGTACTTTAATCATGGAAAAGCATTTATTATTCCATTCAACCAATAAAAAGAAAAGGGTGCGCAACAATGTTTTATCAATAAAATAGATGGCGTTTAAGACCCCCTATTTGAAATTAAGGGGATTATAAACGCCGCGATTATGTTAAAAACAAAAAGATTTAATTTTTTAATTTAAAAAATGTTTTTTTCATTTTGAACACAAAATCGGTAGGTTCTATATATGTACTTTAATAATGGACAAGCATTTTATTATTCTATTGAATCAATAAAAAGGAAAGGGCATACATGATGCTTTATCGATAAAACAAGACGGCGTTTAGGATCCCCTTGACTGTAAATGCAATGCATATACAGTCCGGTTCCAGGAGGAGGAGGAGAGCGAACGCGAAAACGAGGACAAGGCTTGGGGAGGTTTTTGTCAACGGTCCATTTAACCGCGCGCGTGCACACAAAGCGCGTGCACGCGCGCGCAGGAATGTATTTTTAGTCATCGCCAGCGGTATTTAAAAATAAACGAAACGCCGTATAACCGTATTCCGGTTGGGCCGCGTATATGCCCCTTATTCTTGTTGCACACCCGGTGTGTTTCGAACCCGGATTATCGCGAAGACGGAAAAGCGACAGGAAGTCGCTTAACGAATGTCTCGACGTTTGACATTTGACACTTTCATTTTATTTATTCGCTTTTTCTGCCAAACGTCGGAATATTTAAACATTGCGTTCACGAATCGATACATGTGCATAATATACAGGATGTAACTGAAAAAAACATATCCATACCATCAGATTCTATGTGGTCAATTTCGAATCGATTTTTCCTCAGCGAAAATGTTGAAGAAAATGTCATTTTTTATCTTGTAACTAAGAGCTTTAAATACTGTCAAAGTAAATTCTATACCTGAAATTAACTGAAGAAAGCGTAGTTTTGTTAATATTTTAACTCTACAAAATTTAATTTATAAAAAACTCTTCTTTTTCAATCATTGTATAACTTGAAAATTATTGGTGCCTTATTTTCATTGAGGAAAAATCATCTCCAAATTTGAGAGGTGTGCTCCGTATGTTTATTCAGTTACACTCTGTATAATTACAATTGCGTGACACGTTATTGTTGCACGATTTCAGGTTTGGTGTAACAACGTCGAGATATTTTTAGGCGGCTTCTGGCAAATGGCCTGTCAAACACGCCTTTTTCGTTTTACGGAAATTACGCATGTGTGACTGCAATTGAGAGATAATCGTCGTCATCCGTTCAAAAGCGGATGAGCTTTTTTAAAACACAATACCGATCTTTATTTTGGTTTTAGCTTGTTTCGCGAATGATTTTGTCAGCGAGATAATGAAGGCACTCTAATTTATGACAATTTATTTAAACAAGATTATAAATGTTATTTTTTCCTTCATGATAGGGTAAATTCGGATAAGATGGCTATAGTTTTCCAAAATTTCAAAAATGTACTTTTATTTTTGTTATTTTTAAATAATATTTGGCAATTACTTCATTGAAAATTAAAAAATATATAATACTATCGAAATTAAACAATAAATATTTTATAGAAATTTTATATTATCAAAATATTAAAGCATTGGCCATCTTTTTGACTCTTATAGTTGACCATATAAATATTTCATGTTAAAGAAATGAAAAACTTATAATTTTACATATTTAGCTTTTTTTATTTTTATACTTTTTTAATATAAAATAGAAACTTTTCTATAAAAAAAATAGATTTTCAATATAATCTTTCAGATTGATTTTTTTAACTAAAAATAATGTTAAAAATAATCTTTAAAACACGACAGAAGTAAAATTTTATGCATAAATTAATAAAATACATAATATTTTCATTTTTAATAATGGAATTAAGTAGGCCATCTTATCCAAATTGTGAAGAAAATATGACCGTAGTATTTATAAAAAAAAATTGTGAAAACGGAAAAAAAATTATGAGTTACATTATAATTTATATACTTTCGTGTAATTTATATACCTTACGTGTCTACCATTGATTATGACAGCTCAATACTATAATTTACTCGACGTTACAGCATTTTTTAGTGAATATATAAAAAACTTTGGAGGCAATCAAAAGTAAAAACATGATGTAATATTTACAATTTTACAATACTGTTATTCCGAATATTATACGCACATAAATTATTGTAAATATTAATTATCTTTGAGAATAATGAAAAAACACTATTTAGAAATGATTCAAAAAATACAGCTTGTAGCCATCTTTTCGGTGGCCATCATACCCGAGTTTACCCTACATTCATATTTTGCGATTGTATTGTCGTAGCTATTTGCTTTTTATCTCTCGGAATTATCGAAAGCCGCACAAAGAGTGACGCTTCGTAAAAAGAAATTTACTTCACTTTCTTCTCCTTTCTTCTGTCGCGATTGCGGCGAGGCAATAAACGATAATTTTAGATTACTTCAAGACCGAAAGCGGTCGCGGAGAAAACCTTTCACTACGCGGTCACATTGACGGATGATCGAGGAGAAATTCTTAAGATCTAGTCTAATATAAGATTTCTAGGACTCGGAAGGAGGTGACTGGTGCCTCTTTTATCTTCCTCCGGAGATGGATCAAGCTGTCGCGATGAGATTTCGTCAGAATGATCTGGCTTACAACGGCCTTACATCTCCTTACACCTTTATTGCAACCATCTCTCTATCTATACTTGGATTCCTGTCATTAGCAACGGTTCATTTCTCACATTTCAGGGTGGCTTTGCGAGAGTCTACCTAATGACTGACGTCAGTAACGGGAACCAATACGCGTGCAAGATCATTCCGAAGAATCGAATGCAGAAGATCCACATGCAAAAAGTGCGTATTTGTTGGAAAAACACGCAATTATTTCTATACCTCTAACAAGCGTTTCGCTGAATAACGTATTTACTTTGTTCGTAGATCGCGCGTGAGATCATGATCCACAAAGAGCTGAATCACGTGAACGTCGTCCAGATGCATCACTACTTCGAGGACAATCTCAACGTTTACATGCTTCTAGAGGCCTGTCCACGAAAGGTATATATATATACATACCTCTTATATCTACCGTTTATTATACTTCTTACCGCGCTTAATTCATGAGAAAAAATTTCGCAACTCCATCCTCCACTTTTACGATAATACCTCGGCGCTGGTTAAAAAAACTTGCCGAGAGATTTTATATAAATTATTGAAACCGTCTGACAGATATCGATACTCGTAGAGCGATAATAAATAAGCGTCATCCTTTGATTTGATTTTTCGTGTAGTCAGAATTAATGGTTCTTCAGCATCCTCATCCCCGTCGTTTCTCCGCGAGTTTCGCTTTTAAAGTCCGACCTGTCTCTCTATGAAGGCACGCAATGCAGCAGCAATTGAATCGTCCGTCGTGTCGGAATCATTGTGCGCGCCGTAACCGAGAAACAATTATAGGTGCCCGGTCTGCAAACGAGCGCGATCAGTAATCGGCCGTAGTATTTTCATTCTGCCGCGCCGGAAAGAGAGCGGCACTTGCACTCTTCATGGCTGATCCGCCGACCTGTTTGTACCGTTAGGATGCGACCGAGCCTCGGCTAATCGCCCGATTATCCTCGCTCTCCCGCTCGATCGTCTTTGCGACTCCCATTTCCGTCCGTTCTTCGGAGAAGATCGCTCGATTGACGATTCGAGTCGCGAAAAAAGTCTCCATCTCGTCAAAACTCCTTCAACCCCTTCACAGTATATGTAGCATATATGCGCATCTCAAAAAAACGATTTACCTTTTTGCGATTTATACGAAACCTGATTTTTCGCTGAATCCGAATATATCAGAATTTCAAAATGGCGGATCAAATTTGAAAAATGCTTGGATTATCACAGAAATGAGTATATTAAAAATGATTTAAGTCGCAAAATTAAAATATATCTGAATTTTGTTAATCTAAATGGCAGATCAAACTTTGCTAAAAAAAAATCACTTAAAAATAATAATTTAATTGAAGTTTACAAAAAATATTATATATCAATATTTTTAGATCCACCATTTTGAATTTTAAAATTCTGGTGTTATATTCCGATTCCGCGACCTTAACCTTGATACAAAAATTATTATGCAAATCTAAGAAACTTTTTTCTCACACTAATAGCATAAAACTCTGATTTTCGCCACACTGCGTAGAAGTTAAACACGTAAACGCACGCGTGTAGTGAAAAGGTGAAATAATGCGCGATAAGAAACACTTTGAAAGCTGATGACTTTGGTAGTAAAGAATATTGTATAGGCCTCTTAAAGAGAGGCCGCGCCTTGCAAAACCGTTTAACGGAGAAAGAATCTTTTCCCGAGATTTCTTCTCATGTGTTCGCATAAACGATCTAGGAAAATCATTTCGTTTCGCTAAACACGAGAGCGTGGAATAAATAACATCAGCGAGTATTTAGCGAAATTTTTTTCCGGCAAATAAATTTTTTGTCCGAGATATTTTTAACGAATTACGGATAAAATTCCTCCGACATGAAATGGCAATTGTACCTTACAAAAGAAAGAAAAATAAAGAGACGGTACAGGGTATACGTGCATTCCGCAAATTCAGGACGCAGCATCTTCTTGCCAGGAAACGCTTTCTTTTCGATTATTTGTCCTCGTCTTATATAGATGGATCTTAAACGGTGTCTCGTTATATAAAATTCCTTTTGTGGAAGGAAATTCCTTTCGCTATACAGACTTCATAATGTTACGTTTATGACAACTCGTTGCAACATCCGCAAAAATAACAGACATTACAGCGAAAAAAAATCAGCTCATAATTCTCTATAGCTACGTTCTAGCTTCGCGTCATTTAAACTTTCTGCATGTCACTAATGCGTGAAGCGACACACACAAGTGTCAGGATTTATAAAAAATCTCTATTCCCTTTCTTCTTCTGCTTCTTCTCCGTCAGAGCTTGATGCACGTGCTGAAGTACCGTGGCAAAGTCACGGAACCGGAAGCGCGCGTTACTATATGAAGCAAATGGTGACCGGCGTCGCGTACATCCACTCGCAGAAAGTCGTTCATCGGGATCTCAAGCCGGGCAACATGTTCCTGTCGGACCGGATGATCGTCAAGATCGGCGACTTCGGACTGGCGACTAGACCCGACGGTCAACGTAGACGAGTGTAAGATCCAGTTTGCTTTACGATCAAACATGTTTTTCCTGTCATTGCAAATTTATTTGTTTACATACATATAATTTATTTCACGTCAACTTTATGTAATAGATAAAATTTCTTTTAAAAAACTATTAAAGTATGGCAGCATTAAAGAAGGTAGAAAAATAATGCGACGTTTTACAATCTGTTTTCCTGTTATCTTGCTATATCGGTGCCTTCGTTATTCTTCGCCGACAAAAACACACAAACGAAACATCTTTTCTCCCCTTTTTTCCAGTCCCTAACGATTGTTACGGACGTGCTCGTCTAAACACAGACGAGCGCAGCATCAAACGAAACACGGTAGCATGTAGACGATCGTTTGTATTCGCAGGACGATATGCGGCACGCCGAATTACATCGCGCCGGAAGTGCTGTACAAGCAGGCGTACAGCTACGAGGCGGATGTTGGGCGTTGGGCTGCATATTGTACGCTCTACTGGTGGGTCAGCCGCCCTTCGACACTGCCACCCTCAAGGAAACGTACGCTAGGATCTGCAGCAATCATTATCGCGAGGTGGACGACAGTATCGCGAGCAGGAGCGGCCAGGATCTAATCAGATGGCTGCTGCAATCCAACCCCGAGCTACGACCGAGTCTGGAGAGGGTGAAGGAACACGCTTATCTCACGAAGGAATACGTGCCGGCGTCGTTGCCGCATACTTGCTGTTACCAGATGCCACCGACGTCCATCATTGAGCCACCCTCGTCGCCGTCCTCGGTCTCTACGGTCGCCAGGAATCAGCAGGAAGCCAGCAAGTCGCAGGTGAGGGATCCCAAAAAGCCAGTATTATGAATTAGCATCTATCTTTAGATGTATCTCTAAAAATGAACATCTAAAATCAATCATATTTTTATCGCACATTTAGAGCTAACATCTATCTCTTAGATGTACCTCTAAAGTTAGAAATGCAGATAAATCCAAGGACATTTATTAAAAGTGTCAGGTTCAAAATAGGTTTTTTTAGATGATTGCCTCTAAGATAAATTCAAGGGCATATTTATTAAAAGTGTCAGGTTCAAAATAGGTTTTTTTAGACGATTGCTTTTAAATGCGCCGCTAAATGTGCGCTATCATAATATGGACTCTAACTTTAGAGGTACATCTAGAGATAGATGTGAGCTCACAATATGACGCATCTTCAGATCTAGTTGGCAAATATTTCCGAAACACGAAATTTCAGATGTGGCAGCAGAGTGTCGTCCATTCCGACGTGGGATCGTTGCGTTATCCGCAACAGCAACAGCAGCAACAGCACCAATTCAAGCACAACAACAGCCTCAACAGTTGAATCTGCTGAATCGTTCGCAGAAGAGCCTGCAGAAGGAATCCAAGGTCTCGAGCTGGTTGGTCAGAAAATTGCCCAAGCTGCCGCGATTCCGACAGCGACTCAGCAGCGTGCTGTGCCCGGATCACAAAAAGACTGGCCTCGTTGCGCAAAGTGTGCAGATGCATCGCGCTCTAGAGATATGCGTAACAGAGATGAAACGACACAATTGCGCGTGCAATCCGCCGACCGTGGAGGATATCGTGCCGCTTTTCGTCACCAAATGGATCGATTATTCAAATAAGTACGGTCTGGGCTTCCAACTCTCCGACAGGTCAGTCGGTGTGCTCTTCAACGACAACACGAAGATCAGTTACACTCACGATAGAAGGTGAGCGTTTCGAATCGAGAAAACGAGAATGATGTGTCAAATCGCGCAACTTTCTTTGATATAAGACTAACAATCCTGTATGAATTATGTAATTTTTTTAAATAATTGTATTGCAGAAGAGTGGAGTACATGACGACCGACGACGAGCTGACGCGATATCACCGAGAGAGAGAGTGCCGATGCCGTTGCAGAAGAAGAAGCTCGAGCTACTTCGTCATTTTACCGAGTACATGGACGATTTCCTGACAGAAGGTAAGTCGATAAGCTTTACTTTAAAAGAAAACACGACTCGTCCGCATGGCTCGATTATGCTCGAGTATTTTACTTTCTGCGGGACCAGTTTCATCATCT